AATGAGAAACAACAAAAAAAACGTTCGTTTTTGTGTTGAGAATTCGTTGGCCCATCTACGTAATGGAAAATTCCGTACATATCACTCGCTCGCCGAACGTTGAGCCGGCAGCAGCGAGAGATGTTCCGTGCGTGATATTATTTTTACGTTACCGGTTTCCAAGACTCGATCGCGAAGAATGTAAGGATAAAATGCTATTGATTTGGACTCCTTTATCAGTGACAAGTAACGCTACTAGATTAATTATTAAGTTTCTACAACTTGTAATGAGAAACGAATTGCGCGTTGAGGCGACGGCTCTTTATTAACGTGTACATGGATATTTTACGAGACTAACTCATCTAAAATATGAAAGTAAACCGTGGTACTTTGTCGCGGTTACATCTCGTGTACGCACCGCGCTTTTAACTATCTATCAATTTCGTGTAATCTGTTCCATTTTCGAGAAGAGAGAGATATTTGTGCGACTTCGGCGTTCACGGTGTAATTCGCTCTGTCGTTCTTCGCAATTCGAACGGGCAGGAAGTAAAGAACGTCTCTTACTGCATTTCACGGTATTTTACATCGCGTACGGGAGTGTCCGAAATTTCGCGCGATCGATTTTCGCGAGTGAGTGGTGTGAGTGTAAGTGCAACAAGAGAATCTGAGAGGAGGAGCAGGCTTAGGCGTCATCAGGTAACAGCAGAGAAATCGTAAGGTAAGTGTCTTACATTTTTGTTATTTGCTACTTGTGCAAAATGAATCATCTGTTCTGTGCTTTTATTTTATTTATTCAAATGATTCCAACGAGCATTCGAATAAGTGTTAGAGACAAAGCCATACGTATAAAATGTTGTGAGTTCATATTTAAAAGAAAGACTTTCAGTATTCTATATAATTGTTTTAATAAATACCCATTTTTTTAAATATAAAATATAAAGTATATTTAATACAATAGTTTCGATTTTGCATAATTAGTCTATAATAATAGTAGTATACATTTTTGTATTGTTACAGTTTAACATATATAGTTAGCGATGTACTTTGCTGGTGCGACTCGTATCAGTGAGTGACATATTACTTTTTATTTTAAAGTGACGTTGCGCATATGATAGGTGCAGAAAAATAAAAATTTTGCAGTTCTGACACGATGTCCTATGCCCGGGTACGAAATCTAGCAGTCTCGTGTCACCCGAAACGCGAAAGTCATTCTCGACGACGAGATGCATCACGCAAAAAGATCGCAAGTCCCGAAAATTAATTATTTTGTTTAAACGCGATATCCTATGCCCTATCCTATTTCGTTTAAACGCGATATCCTATGCCCCGGCACGCCATCTATTGCCGTTCGCCATCTATTGCCGCTCGAGGGGGTTACGAGCCACCACCCGCAATAGATAATTGTCGCGTCGTCGGTATTGCAACAAGGAGCACTTACCTTGCGACGGCGGATCCCACGATGACCGATCGATAATCGTTATGGCGTCGCCGGCGTCATGTGATTCCGTCATGTGACTCCGTCATGTGGTCCCTCGTTGGATCGGTTGTTGAGTTGCTCCCGCGAAGTAATCCCAATTGGTCACAACTCACTTAACACTTCACAATAGAATATGCACTATCATATATATATATCGCATTATGTACGATATCACACACAGTATCACCAATTTTACTCTGTAAGCCGCATCGGCGACTTAACACTCGCGACGGATGAAATTCACTCTCAAGACACACGCTCGCGACACTCGACACTCCCGTTCGCGGTGCACTCTCTACTTTTTCGGCGGTTTGAGGCACGCGAGACGCGACAACCGAACTTCCGAGTAGCCGCGGAGCGGCCGATGGCGACTATGGCTCACTCACGACGACCGAGATTTCCCGGCACGCGTCTCCCGGCGGCTGCTTGAGCGCCACAAACGAGCTTGCGAACGCGCCACTCACTCACGACACCCCGAACACGGGGCTCGCCCTCTCGGCGAGCCGAAATCGACGGAAACGCGGAGCGGATTCTCGCGCCCGACCGACGTTTTCTCCGCGTCCAACAACTGAACGTTCACTAGATTCGTAACGGTTGCAACTTTCAAACGTGAAGCAGCGGCCAATCAGGCTGCGAGCTTTCAAGCATCGATCTTGCAATGACAAGATCATGCAGCGAGCCTGTCTCGTGTAATCATAGGTCTGTTCGTATTGCATGAAGTCGCGTATAATATATGAGGTGTGTTCGGTTTCACGCATAATGCGCACATCTCACAAAATTATACATATTAACATCAACAACGTACTATAAACGCAACTTTAATCGAAATGCAAATGTCTGAAAAGAATTAAAAATTCAATGTCTAAAGTCAATGTAATTTCACTTATAAATAATTTCGTAAAAAAGATATAAACTGGTGGAATTAATAAATCACCGATAAATGCTAATTTAAACACTCGATTCAATATTTCGCGTATTATTTTCGCGATGGATTAATTTTAATAACCGATGAAGATTTTAAAGCACGGCGTGAGATTCATTCCGAGTTCGAATGTTAGGAAAAGTAGCGCCCGTGTATTATTAAAATATTAAAATTAAAATAATTTTTAGTCTACCAGATTGCAGCGCCATCTTATCATCATGCAGTCCTCTACTTATTATTCTACAGCTGTATTTGCATTTATAAACTTTTATCTAACCCTATCTTTTTTTCTAGACTTTTAATCTTAATTAGTTCCAAGTACACAATATTGTTCTTGCATGTTGTCTCTAGGTCACTCCGGTCTCATTTTGCAGATATAAACTATAGAATTTTTGTATTAAGTGCAAATATTATCGTCATGTGTCAGCTCTACATGCCAAAATATTTAGTTTTTTTTCGTTTTTGATATAAAGTCGAGTAGACTGACTTTTATTTTTGTGCGAACTTTAATCGTGTATAAGAATTCGCAGTTCTGTAAAGCCAATTAAAAGATATCCTTAATTAAAAAATGTCGGTAAAACAGAGAGACTCCAGAATCACCTTAAAATAATTATTTAGAAAATTTCAAGACTAAACGTATACAATGTCGAGAGAAATTAAATATTTTATTTTAACATTTCAAGAAATGAGTTTAAATCGAAACGTTTATTGTATATGTATTTATAAATGATATATTTACAAAATAATAATAATACATAAGCATGTTAAATATTAGGTCAAACGTTTCTGTGCGCAATCATAAGTTGTTATTGAAGTATAACAAATGTAAACTTGCTTATTAGTATCCTATTTATAGGGCGGTGTAGCGAAATATTTCCTGTTCCTCCTCGCGAAAGAGCGGCTGTAAATAAAAGCGAAATGTGAAATAGAGAAGATACGCTAAGTGTATCTTCGTGCGAGATAATAACGTATCATTCACCTCGAAGTGACAGGGGTATTGAGTAAACCGCGGGAAAACGTACGCTTGAAAAGCGATTCTGTGGACGGCGTGTGTTTTAATTCTCCCGTTTTCGGGGTACCAATGCCGTTCAAGTTCGTCGGGTTCACGTAAGTTGCCCAATAATCCGATGGTATTTGAAGTAAACTCTCTACTATCTGGAACACAAAATACATTACATTATTACTTCTTATTAGCGATAATGTCAGAAGTGTTTCCTACCGCAACTTGATGTTTAGTTTCGCTCAGCATGGTGAGCGACGGTTCCTGGGAGCTGTAACCGACTAAGGTTGGCCCGAAGACCTTGGCGAGATTACTGATGGGCATCTTGCATTCCGCGCTACTCGATACTCTCTGTAAATGCAACATCAAGAAGGCCAGGGTGTCTCGGTTCGGTTGCGGCAGTTCCGATATCGCCTGATAAAGAGCGGCGTCAGCATCCTGTTTGTCCGTGATTTGTGTCGCGCGTATGAAGTCTCCCAGCAAACCGACGGTGATCAGCGGCTCACGTAATGACCTGTAAAATAATGAATTCAAGTAAACACACATACCGCGTGTGCAATGATATATTTCAGGTGGACGTACCTGAGAAAATCTTTCAAAGTGGAGCAGATGGTCGCGATGTCGACGTTAGAGAGATTCGGGGCACCTTTGCCTTTCAGGAATTTCTCCTTGAGACACTTAGTATCTGCGGTTGCTCCGTTCACTCTGTACAATCCTTGCTCGTTCATGCCGCGTAATTCTACCTCGTTAATGCAGTGAACCACTATAGAAGGTACCATGGGCGGTATTATAGGTGTGTAGTCAGCTATAGTGCCCTACAAAAATGACATTTAGTAAAGATTCATTGAAAGTGTTTTACTGATAAAATGAAAATTATAATAATACTTACGGGTATACCGCGTAACGTAGGCGTATTTCCTGTCGGGACACATGGTAGCGGTACTAAATCTTTACACTCAGTATGAGCCATAGCTCTACAATCTCTGCACTTCTGCACAATCTTTCCAAATCGAATTCTATTAATAAAAAGGCACATTAAGATCTCTTTCTTCTTATCTCCAGTTCAATCTTGTAGGATTAATTACAAGCAATATAAGCTTTAGGGGCCTATTCTGTAAACGTTAACGACATCACTACGTGCTTTGCGCAGTTTTTCTATGGTATATTACATCTGCGCAAAAAGCACGTAGTGATACATCGTTAACGTTTACAGAATAGACCTCTCGATATGTTCACGTAACAGAAGAAATAAATTTACTTTTTCCCACAAGGTGTGCACACTTCTGGCTTGATAACAGTTTTGGCCACAAAATTATGACTCCTAGATATTCTCGTGTTCATGGTGTAGCCACCGATATTTGGACTTGGTTTAAAGATATCCTCCGAATCCGAGGTCGATGTGAGAATATCAGCTTTTGGTGCTGATGGCTAAAAAAGGACAAACAATTGCTCTCCGCGAAATTCCATGCGTACTTTTTAAACGTAGAACAATTTATACGACTCGGTAACGTACCGCTGTATCAATTGGCATTTCATTAACATCCATGTGCGACAATTTCGATTTGTGCTCCGAGCTGCTCTTGCGCCGCTTGCGCGAATTATGCGAGACAATCTGGGGATCCGCATTTTCATCACCGGGTACAGCCTCGATCGTGGACGACGCGGTAATTGTACCGTCCTTGGGCATAACTACGGTAGTAGTCGCCACTATTCTATCGGAGGAGTTCAATTCTGCAGTCTTGTGCAATGCGCTGCGACGGTGTTTCTTGGAATACTCGCTGCTGGGGCGGTGCTCCTTCCACTCCCGCTTTTTCTGACTCTGCAAAATATTGCTGGTCTCCAAGTCGTCTTCTGATCTGGATAGACAGTTGAGGTCACTCAATAGCGAGCCAGTCGAGTTTAATTCTGCTATTGTGTTAAGCCTAAAATGCAGACAGTACAATGATTGTCGTATCATCCAATGTAATTGTTGGTTTCTTCAGTGCCAATATGCTTATACTCACTTATCAAAAGGTATCTCGTGAGCATGTATGTTACTTTGACGATGCAATGAAGAGTTATTAAGAAACTGCAATTTCTCCCTTGTTTCATCATTTATATTGTGTCCTCTGTCATTAAATAGGAACTCCCTGGCAGTAACAATTTGCTTCTCCTGAAAAATGATACAATTGTGAGCACTTTCGAATATCGCAACCAAAATATCTTTTTGGAGACAAGAGAACTGCTATCAGCTACCAAAAAGTCTCTGTGCTCCTCGGCTGCGCGACGCTTGCGGTTCTCCTCCTCCAAGTTTCTTCTTGCATGACGCAGCTTCCTATCAAAATCCGCGATCTCGTTATGAGCCTTGTCCAAAGCGGAGTGAAGTCGTTGGCACTCTTGCACCGACGCCAGCCATTTCTGCCTCATCTCCTCTTGACTTAAAGCGAACTGCAGGAATTCTACGCAACGCAATATTGAAGGGACGCGTGTTTATATATATGTGATAAATCTAATAATAATTGCAGAAAATTTTACATAGTAATTTCAGAAAATTGTAACTAAAGCTATTGCAAAAAGCTGACAAAATGAGTAACAACGGGGCGATATCGATCATATACGACCAGTAACGAACCTTCCTCGCAGGCTCCATTTACCAAGACGTTCGTACATCGCACCAGCTCGTCGTAGGTAGCCAAAAGTGACAACGACGTCATTCTTGCGTTTATCCTGTCGCTTTTCTCGTGAATTACTGTTCTGCTGACATGTCACCACCGGTCTGCAACACTTGGCGGTCCGTTGGTCGTGATAGTACCAACGACAGTACACAAAAACGGTTCAATGAAACGTTTGCACCGCACAAGCAACCGTACGCGTCCAAGTTTTGAAAGTCGCCCCTTTCCTGACCGTTAGGAGTTGAGACGGAGGCGACGTCTGGCGGAGAAAACGTGAATTATGGCTACTCGTCGACGTAAGGTCTGTTCGTTTTAGCTGAACTTTTTGCACCGCTCATATTCCCTCTTTTATGCCCGTTTCTATGAATGCCGATTTAACTTTATATCCTCTTTAGTTTTAAAAATTAGAAAAAGATCAAAAGTAATTTAACCCGCGATTAAAGTTAATTTGCATTAGAAATGGGAATTAGGATGCGTTTTCACTGCACGCGTCATGCATCATCAATTCGTCTCAAACGCGCGGTATTTGTTTTCTACCTGACGACGATTCTCCCACATAAAAATATATATTTTGATCGCACATTTTATATACTTGCCCGCCCTTTTTATTATGCAGCTCTCTGCAGCCGGTTGCGCAGCTAATTCTAATCGTGATCAGAAAAGAAAACCGTTAACATACATTTTTTATTGATTTATGTACAAATATAATGAAATTTACAACTCTTTTATATTTATCAGATTTAATTATGTGCACTTATATAATTAAAACTCTGTACATTTATATTTTTCAACTCCATAATGTAACATCAGTTAACAACTTGACAATTTAGAATTCTTAGAATTTTTATATGACAGTGCATAACTAAACAATGTGGACAATTATAAATCAAATTCTATACATATATATATATCTCTAATTATATATTTTACATATTAGAACAATAAATACAGCAATTTTGTCTGATATATTACATACATTAAAAACTGCTTTTATCAGTCTGAATAAAATTTGTATATGGTTTAAAATTAATCATTCCTGTAGGTAGGAAGTTTTTATTATATAACCGCACACAAATTTCTAAAAATCATTGATTAATTTTCGTTCACTGGTTAAGTTTTAATACCATTTGGAGAACGCAAACTATCTTTTTGAATACACAGTGTCTTAAGCTTGGAAAGTACAGAAATAAGCTCCGCCTGTACATTTGCTATTTTCGCAGCAAAATAGACGGATTCCTGGAAACGTTTCTGACTGTTCCTTAAGTTTTGCGGCACCAATACACCGAACCATTTTAAAGGATCCCCTGGCCCATCCGCGTCATCGCTTGACTTTTTAAAACTGATGTCAAAACATAGTACACTGTCGTTATCTTCGTCCGTCGTTTTAGTTTCCAAGTCAAACAAGGACGTCACGGTGTCCTCGTTATTTGGAACCTGTAACATACTGATGTTCTCCTTTCCACGAATATATTTCGCCTTTGCCAGCTCGATGTGGCCATCCTTCAGCAATGTTTCCATCTGAACGTTTCCACGAATTTTCTCCTCCATTAATTCCAATTTACGTAACACCAACTCGTCGATCTCTTCCGACAAAGCATCTACGTTTTTACTCATCTCGTAATATACGATTGTCGCCACAAAGCTTACTAACTGTAGCGTAGTACGTAGACTGAGGTTCTATCTGAAAGCACAGTGTCACAAGATCAACACAAAATTATTTATATGCAAACGTTTGCTCACTGTTAAAGAAATATGAAACAGAAAAGATTCATAATTTAAGAGACAAGTTATTGTTTAAAAGCACATATCTTAAGCACTGTCTATCTTGCACCAAACCACTTGCAGGCATATCAAATATCAATTACCGTTTGGTAAACATTACCTTCGCCAATCTTGCAATTAGCGTTCTGAATGTCTCGTTTCATTGACAAGTTAATCCTGCTTCTCCAGTCTCTTGTAATCCTCGAACAAGATTCAGTCTTTCTATTAGAAGCCAAGTGACGTTAAGATTATTCACAAGGTGCACGTTGCAGGATGTTTTCAACACGATCACGTGTTCTGAAATCGCTTCCAGCTCTCACATCAGCTGAGCGTGCCGTGAGTGAGTAAATTTAGGAAAGTACATTCTAGGGAATTGCTGGTTTCACGCGTACAAACCTCGTTTCCGGTATACACGATTCACGAATGATCTCGTAGTCCACTTAACCTATGTGCACGTTTCTGTATTTTGTTCGAGGAGGCAAGAACTGGCACGTCAAATGCCTTAAAAGAAATCTGCGTTTTGCCAAAAGGACGAAAAGGGGAAAGTTCAGTCGAGGGCACACGTTAAATACTCCAAGAGAATCTGTACTTGGAGGAATATTAACAAGGAATTATCGTTAACATGACTACTCCGGTATTGACGAAGCAGCAGCAGAGGCATAGCCTGTCAGCTAAAAAGAAGTTGCCCGCCAAGGGGTTGCGGAATATCTTGGCACAACCTGGTCTGAATTTCTGGTACGTCTTTCACACGTGATCTAAGTTCTTGGACAACTCCCAAACTTAGTCTTGATAATAATCGACATTTAACCAGACGCAAACGTTTACTAAGAAATACTGTTAACATTCGAGCGAAAGTGGTTGCGATTTGTACTCATTTTCGCAAAATATTCTTTTAGGCCAGTCGTCAAGGTAGATCAGTATCCAGAGTTGGTGACAAACTTAAATAGGTGAATACGATTCAAGAGATGTAGGAGAGTCCTCTATTATGAGATAGACTTCTAATAGCGAGGTCTTTTCGCGAAATTAATAGGCGTCATCTGTTAGTTCCACCGTGAAGGTATTGTCCTTGGTGTGAAATTTGTTTAGTAGAAAATTCATTGTCGGATCATGCGACTGTTGCAAGAAGAGCTCTGCGATTGAATTTGGACGTTGGAAGCCTGTCTCATAATAGGGAACTTTCCTCTGTAATATCTTGAAAAGTATCCAATTGTTTTTAATCGCTGTGAAAATACCTTGTAGGACGTTGCCGTCAATCAAACAGACCAGCAATAAAATTCCTAAACATATGCTTAAAAACATATCGAAAGAAAATCGTGCGCTAGCTAGGAAAGAATTGCTAAAAGCTGCGCCTGCAAAACCAGATGTACTGTAAGTGTCCCTTGTATTATGCTGCCGCGAGCAGCTCGAGATTTAGCCGGTTTGTCTATTTTTTTTAATGAATTTTAGAAAATTTATGATTATGGGTATCAACATAGTCACTCGAGCCTTAGAGAAGGGCAACGTATGTTGCGTTTTATTAGATGCCAATGTTGAACCGCCGTTGTTAATAAAGCACATTGTTACTATGGCAAGAAACAAGAAAATACCTGTCCTTCTGCTGCCGATTCTGAAAACAGTCACATTAGAAAAGATTGGATTTGCCACAGCAGCTTTCGCTTTAAAAGTAACGTATTAATATTTTGTCATTTCAAGTATACATCCTTACAGATGTTTCTTAGAGATTTGTTATTTCTGTAGCAAGAGGTAAAGCAGTGCTCAAACAATGTGTGCCATCCATTGTACAAGTCTATAGCAGAGGCTTTCGAAGACCTTGAGTCGCAGGAATGTTTGCTCCGTTTTAAATCCGACGAGACGTCTGATAACACGATGCGTGAAGTGAAAACCATTCGCGTGGATTGTAATACAGATCCAAAGATTTCCAAGCCAGAAAAACCCGTTACGGTATTTACGGATGTTTATAAATACAGAGTTTCAAGAGACACGAGAGTTTTCGTACCGCCAACAGCCAAAGAAAGCTCTGAAGTCTCTCAAGGATTGGATGATTTTATTGCTTTAGATAGCGATCCTGAACCTATCGATAATAAATATTTTAAAAGTACGCTGAAGCGAAAAAGATATGTAAATATTGGCAATGAAGACAAACATACCAAAGAATCTGAAGATGCAGAAAGGAATTTATTTTTAAAAAAATTAAAATTAATTAATAACAACGCTGAATCAATGAAACACACGAAAGGCAATACATTAAAAACGCACGGAAATGACGAGCCTACCTATTTATCTTTAAAACTAAAACGTATACAAGGAAATGATAAACGAGCAAAAGCAACTAAATTAACTAAAAATAGTATTATGCGCAATTTAATGGTAAAGTAGTAGTCTACTCAGCGAAAGATCTGGATATGATTTCCAATATCGCTCTGCATCTAATCCAGGGATTTTTAGGAATCAATCAGGAAATGGAAACAAGAACAACAGGTATAAACTAAATCTCCGACAACTGGGGAAAAATTGCGATATTGGAAATTAAAAAATTGTATTGCTCTGAAAGGAAATTCTAATCAGTTTTCCAAACTATCGAAAATGTCAGCGAGCTCGTTTCATTTTACGTTAGAAAATTGTCAATGTTGCCTTCGACATTCAAATAACTAACAATCAAGCTTCAATCTTCGAAAGATAAGTGTCTAATAATGTGAAAGATATTAGGAAATTATATAATTTGAACTAATCGATACTTTATAGCGCTTATATCTTTCACACTTTTGACAAAATACGTGGGAGGACAATCGCGTTTAATCATTGTAATTATAAAAAGAGAAAATAGAACAAAAAAAATGTGGTGTACAGTAATAAAAATATATATTTTTTATATAGATTATATACAAAATTAACCCTACATTTTGCATCAGTAGTTAAATAAGTTACATTAGTAAATAAAATTATATTTACTAATATAAGTAATACAGTTCTCATTTGAAGTTTCTGACAATAAGAAATAGCAATAATTTCTATTTTTACAATTACGGGTGATATCGGAATTTGCATCTAATAAATTCCGTGGTGTATCAAAATATAGATTCAAGTCAGTCTTCTGTGTATTAATTTTAATAACAATTAGACATAGAGATATTAGATGAGTGATAATTCATTTAATATCCTATCTCTCGATACAAACTTCATGTGACGTTCAAAAAAACATTGCACGAGATAGAGTACTGTTGCTTTATTATAAATCATTGAAATGTATCCTAAGCGTAGTAATCTCATCACACAGGTAAACTTGACTTCACAGACGATCTAAACATTCTTGTGAAGAACATGAGACCAGTTGTACCTCCTGGTATATGACTTATTAGAAAGGATAACGTAGCTACCAACTGCAAAATAGCGCACAATACTGTCAAAGGGGTTGATTGCAAATGCAGAGCGAAATAGAGTGTGCCTGTTAACGTTGCGAAGTACAATATGGTGAAGTACTTCTTCTCGGCTAGGAATAACGATTTCATATAACTCGATCCCCACAAAAAACAAAAACTGGAAGAAATCTTTCGTTAGAAATATGGCATTCTTCTCATATAAATATAAATATTACTTCTTAAGTACGTACGCACGTACCTCATTAGAAAGAAGAGACTTCCTAAGGAATAAAGGAGAGCAAACTTTCTTGCTTTGAATAATAAAACGGGGATATACATCGCTGATAGACAGAAGCATAATAATCCCAGAAGAAAACACACAGCGAAGGATATGAGTCTTTGTGTTCGCGTCTATCGGAATAAAAATATAGGAAAATGTAAATATAATTTTTTAATTCATCTATTATCAAGTACAATTTACTGATTTCACTGATGAAAAAAATAGTAAACTTTTTAAATCGACGACGGTCTTTGACAAATTTATATAAACAAAAGTTGATTGAATCCGACTCCCAAGATATCTCCTACAAAAATGCCTCGAACAGAAAATGTAAAAATTACTGGATATGCAAACACGGACAACTTTAAATTCCACTTGAGGGAACAACAATCGATTGAACCGATAAAATATGCTTACAGCAATAATTTCAACTATATTCGTTCCTAGTATAATCTTTCTTTCCAAGTTTCAAACGACAAAAAATTAAGGGCCAATTTTATGAAGGTCGGTTAACTGTTAACGAGAGTTCAGTCAACTCCCTATCTTTTTCTGTCTAGTTATCTAAGAAAAGACAGAGAATCAATTAACTTTCGGTTAGCAGTTAACAGACATTTGTGAAACTGGTCCTAATAGAAAGTTCTATCCCTGTTTACAATATACCACAGGCATCGCTTGACGGTATAATCAATTGGATTGATTGGAATTTAAGGTCTTCCCAAATTCTGAATAAGTCACTTCGCACTGTTGCTTATGCTAATATCTCTTGGGCTAGTCAGAATCGTCACATTAATCAACGTCAAGTTGATTCATCCCGCGGTTCAGTTCAGGTTATGAGCAAATGCACTACCATAGCGGGACAACATTCTCTCTGCGATCTCTGGATCCATCCCGCATTCTCCTCCGTCTCGTCAGTACTTTTTCCGAACCATCTCCCAAAGTTCGTTCTCGATATCGCTACCGATGGAATGGTGATCTTATATTGCTTTTCATTCTTGTTGCTGAGAAGATACTCGTTCAACTCTTTACTGAGATCGGCCATTTTGACATATCGTATTCGCGGCATGGGATCAGGAAATCCTAGATGTTATCGACTACGGGAGAGAAACCGTTTTTATCGACGGTAAACAATTACGCAGTCGGTACCTTATCGGCCCCCTCTTATTTTATTGATCGTTTAAAACGTAAAATCGATTGGAAGGCATAATTAGCCAATTAAATGTTAACGTTCCATTGAAATTGATCAATTGGCCCAAGTCAGAAACTGGCCCAAAGTCGGACAGGCCACATTTATTGACGACCTGTTCCACTGTATTCTCTCTGTTCTCCACAATTTTTGAAACACCCTTGAGTTTTAGTCACGACTTCGCACTCGTCTTTCGACCGATTATAAAGAGAAATTTACTTTGTACTGTTTTGAGTATAAAAGGATGTTTTATTTTTACTAATAACGTTAGACTCTGTTGCGAAGCAATTAGACAAATACTTTAAATTAAAAAGTACATGTCATTAGAAAGTTTAATTACATAGTATCTCTATATTTTGTTTATACAATTAACAATTTAATAAAAAGATCGCGAATTTCTTGGATATTACGATTCTTTTAATATAATATGTATGCATATTTATATATTTAATGTATATTATACTATATAATATTTTTTGTCTCTTATACTTAAGTTAGAAAGTTATAGGTAATGTGTAATTGTTTAAAAGGCAGACTATTCCGCGTGAGTCATTCGATACGTACCCCAGGAAAATAAAATGTCAAGGTGACGTCAATTTTATGTAAATATGACATAAATTTGGTCAATATGACATCAAATTAACGTCATCTTGACTTGTCATTTTTCCTTGGGTAGAGTAGGGTGATCAAGTTCGGATCAGATATCAAATATATGCGACTCAACAATTTGACGAGTCACTAATTAGCGACATTTTCAAGTAATTTAATTAAATTTTGCTCTTTAATATATATTTACAAGTTTATGCTATCTTGTCGATATCATAAAAGGCATCGACGTGGTTCTATATCGTTTATTAACGGACTCATCAAATTGTTGATTCGCATTTGGTATCCGAGACTCAATCATGAAACTTATCCTCAAACGTGAATTTATGAGAAGTGAAACCTCTCGTTGACAAATATTGAATTCGTTAATGAAATTTTTAGCTTTCCACGAGTTCACGCCAGAGAAAAGGATTCGTGTTCGAGCCCCAGAGCGAAATTCGGTCACCTTACACCCTGGATAAATGGCCGCTTCGTGCCTCGCGTGAATAAAATGCTACGATGGGTTTTCAAACTTACATTTATTTAAACAAATCAACATTGACCTCAATATTTACGGATTGTATACTGTATTTGTTGCACAGAGGATGCACCTTTCTATACGCGAGATCTACGTATCTCGCGGACGCGTCGTACCGTTTGACAAATCATTACGGTCGGGACAAGGGGGAGGGAGGGGGAGAGGGGGTCGGGGCGGGGATTGGACTGAGTACCGACAGAATAATTAACGAGATTAGATTAGGAGAGCCGGACTAGAAACAAGTCTCACGTTATCACAATGTAATATCGCATTAGAGAGCATACTTACAATAATCGCAATAAATATAATAATAATAATAATGTCGTTCGTGTAAGAAGAGGAATGATGCTAATAGGCGCAAAAAACGTAACAATGTGGCTCGGGAACTCAGACAACAAATCGATCACATCCGAAATACAATAGACGCTACGTTAATAACCCAGGTTCCGCTTATCCGTCTTATATAGTTTTCTTGTGTCTTTTTTTTTTACCAGCTAAATACGTACTGCTCACGGCCGCTTGATCTCTCTTGATTATACGATACATAGGATGAGACTGCTAATTATTCAACATGAAGATCCCTAAACTTATTCTCTCACATGCGCGACGAAACGAATTCACCCCCGGGGGAATTGAGATGTCCTGTCAATTGTCGTCGATTGATATATTGCATACTTAATCGCGAAACTCCGTATAAGTGTAAACTCAAGGAAGATACACAAACGAGCGTGAAGAAATGCGCGTTCGTTCGTTCGTTAATTTAACGAACGTGACGCTTCGACAGTAACGAGTTCTCTCGTCTCGTGCCGACGATTACTCTCTCCTTCTCTCTCTTTCTCGTATTAATTTCGCCGTTCGAACTTCGAGGGGCCGCGAGAAACTTCGCGTTTGAAACGACTCTCTCGAAGCGAGAGAAACAATTTGCCGAATCTAATAATCCTCTATTATCCCTTTTTGCCGCTTACTGCCGAGGTAAAAAGTAAAAGAAGGGGCGTTTTTGCGAAATCCTTCCTCTCGTTCGCCACATTTTCTTTATACACGGATTTACGCAACTAAGCGTATGTATACGAGTATGCGTGCGCTTCTAACATGACTCATTTTCTCTTTCTTTCTCTCTCTCTCTCTCTCTCTCTCTCTCTCTCTCTCTCTCTTTCTCTCACTTTCTCTCACATTCTTCTCTATCTCTCTTTCTCTCTCTTTCACTCTCCATACGTATAAGTGTGTACGTCTCCTCGTGGACATAAATTCGTGTGTATTTTCGTTAACTATATACTTTGGCTTGTCCTCACACCTCACTGCACCTTCGCCTCCTGCTTTAACGCTAATGGCAGCACGGATACAAGTTTGTTTTTTTATACTGTAATAGCGTCCTCTCTCAGCGCACACACGTGCCCTAATTATCCTGCCTCATTATTCGAACAAACGCGTGTCCGTGTCGTACATATATATATGCGTAATATATACACACTCATACGTGTACACACATATATGTATACACGGCCCATTCGCCGCGAGTGGCGGCATGAGAGGGTCCTTCGGTTGATAGTGAGTGCGCGATGTAGTCTCGTCTTCTTTTCTTTTTATGCTATGTATAATATCATACAGTACGTAATGACGCCGTAATAAACTGCTATGTGTACGCACTACGAGAGGGGAGAAAACTATATATATTTTTATATATAATATATATTTATATTTATATATTTATATACTTTTTTATATATGTATACGTGTGTAATTCGTGGAGAAACGAATCGCTATGTAGCGTATAATGCGCGTACGTACGTACGGCGGCCTCCCCGGCGGCGTTAGGGCCGTGGCGCACGGTTTTTTCAAACTCAAGACGTGAGCGAAGCGACCAATCACAGTCGAGAACCGTCTTGGAACTTTAAGTCCCAGTCTACAATAGATGACTTAAGCCCTAAGCCGTAATAAATTGACCAATCACGGTCAAGTATGAGTACAATACGCGACTGTGATTAGTCAATTTCTTAAGGTTCAGGGTTTAAATCTCTATTGTAGATGGGCACTAAGTGACGTTGAAGATTCCGTACGGTTAAAATTCTTAAGGCCTGTGTCCGCGATGCTAGAACTTGAACCAAGTTCTAGTATAGTGGACACAGGCATCCAGTCTCGGTCTACGATAGATACTTCAAGTCCCGGGCCTTAAGAGATTTAACTAATCACAGTCGAGTATTCTCGTCGCACTTGATTGATTGGTCAATTTCTTGAGGCTCAGGTCTTATAAATCTGGTTTAAGACTGGGATTTACGTGAGCAACCGTCTTGGAACTTTGAAGGCCTGTGTCCACGATGCTAGAACTTGGACTAAGACCAGGTCTTAAGCGACGTTGAAAATTTCATACGGTTAAAATTCTTAGTCTCGGTCTACGATAGATGCTTCAAGTTCTGGATCTTAAGAGATTAACTAATCACAATCGATCTCCTTGTTGGATCCAACTTGACTGTGATTGGTCGATTTCTTAAGACTCAGGTCTTAAATCACCTATTGTAGACTGGGGTTTAAGCCTTGTGTTCACGATTCGAGAACTGTGTTCTAGCTCTAAGATATGTGTAGCCAGTCAACTTGTATCTTTTACGGAAAAGCTGCAAACTGATTGGCTGCACATTTCTCGGAACTAAAACTTGGACACAGTTCTTGGATCGTGGACACAGGGCTTTTCGCGTCTCAAGTTCTATCGCTCAAGTCTTTCCGCGTGCCGTGACCCTTAAACCCGTGTCACACTACGTATTGCGGATCGCGGATCGGATTGAGATCGCGGATCGCGGATCGCAATTCAACCAATCGGGTCCGAAGCTGTCTCGTCTGATTGGCTGAAATGTGATCCGCGATCCGCAATCTCAATTCAATCCGCAATCCGCAATACGTAGTGTGACACGGGCTTTACGCTTCGCGACGAGCGTGAGCGCGGCTTCCGTAGATCGCGCGGATCGGCCGCGCGGTCCCCGATCTCTCGCGAATCGTCGTCGACGGGAGCGCATCTGGAAATGATAGCCCGTCGCGGATCAGGGATCCTCGCAAGGATTCGCGGCGGGACCGCGGAACGACTCGCGCGTTCGCTCGAATGCATCGCGTTTCCTCTTCCTCGCTGTACGCGAGTCCCGTGCATTTCCCGTCTCGAGGTGAGAGAGTCGCGGCTGTACCGGATTTGTCGCGAACTACAGAATAATTCGCAGATATGAAACATATTGTCGAGGCTATCTCCTGCAAAGTTTCCTTACAACTTGCGATCGGTTTCGATTCTTTTTCGAGTTTTTCTATTGCACAATGCAAAATTAAAGAATTAAATAAGATAGGATGGTTCTAGACTGCTTCCTACTTAAAGGATTAACAAATTCGTATTGTATTTGTAACATTTTCCTATTAAGTTTCTAAAGAAACTATTTTTTCTTCTCCATTTTGTGAAATTAGTCTAACTCTTTAATTATGAATCTGATCCTATTTGTATAGTATGTTGACATTTTTTGCTCCAGATGATCTCAGGAATGCCCTCCTGAAATAGGGGTAAATCCTCGCGAATCACCTTGTACACGACTACCATCTCGGATTATCGTCGTTACGGTCCGAGAAAATGTCCATTTGTTTGTACTCTGTGTCGTAGCTTTGTCGATAAAGTTAGACTAATTGTGACAGCGACCCTCGCTGTTTCCCCCTTAAATACCCTTTCGCTGTAATGCTTCGTACTTTTTCTTCTACTCTCTTTTTCTTCTCCTCAAGCGGTTTCGCCTTTAAAGGCCCGTGTCCACGATGCTAGAACTTGGTCCAAGTTCTAGTATCGCGAAATGTGTAGCCAAACAGCTTGCAGCTATTCCATAAGAGTTGCAAATTGACTGGCTACACACTTCTCGAAACTAGAACTTGTACCAAGTTCTAGCATCGTGGACGCCGGCCTTGACAGAAACGCACGGGACAGGTCGATTTCGCTCGAACGGTTACGCTCGATCTCGTGACGCTCAGAGGGCGAGATGTGAACGGAGTACAAGAGTAAACGAACGTAAACGGCCCCTCCTCGCCGCGGACACTTGGCTACGAAGTACCCGAATTAACTTCTATCGTATCGCTAGTCGTAATATCACTAATCGCTCATCGATCGCGTCCCGGAAAACGGTGGCGATGAGACCAGACGGGGGGGAACGAGAGGGGAACGTGTGTCGAGAGGGTGCATCGAAGAGGGAAAGAGCGGCAAGGTATTTAACAAGACGAGAGGTACCGCGCGCGCGCGCGCGCTAATTGCTGTCCTAAAAGGAAGAAAAAGGAATAACTAAACGACCGTTCGCGCGACACGAGATCGGACGTGCTCGCCGACGGGAGGGAGAGAAAAGACGGGCGCCTGGTGTGCCTAATCGGCGCCGTCGCTCGAGCGCACTCGGGCGCGACTAACGCGCTCCTAATGTGCGCGGGGGCGGCTTCTCTCCCCCAGTCAACCGGTTACCTGCTCGCACGGACGACGACGTACTTAAGTGAGAAATCCCCTATGCGTTATGCCATACACAGCAATATCAGAACACGCGCAGAACACTGAGCCGTTATCGTTCACGAGACACGCGCACGATATAGAAAAGATCACGGGAGGTGGCGGGCGCAGGGGGTGGAGGGTGGGGAAACTGAAGCGGGTGCGAGTGGCGGGACGAGCGACTCCGAAAACGAGCTACGCACGTTGCACTGTTGTGGACGAAGGGATAGAAACGATCAAGTACGCGCGGCCGATCGCCCTTCCCCCCCCCCCCCCCGCCCTCCTCCCACGGACCACGACCTGCTCGGTCTTCTCCTCTCTTCTCTCTCTCTCTCTCTCTCTCTCTCTCTCTCT